TTGCCATTTCTGGCTTTGAGTTTACCGTAGAAGAAACCATCACAAGAGCCTTTGAGCACGTGCAGAGCGTTTTTCCATGCAAGGGGAGGAAGGACTATTTTCCTGGCAAATCCATTTTCAGAAGTGGATTAAATCTCTTCAGTCCTAGGTCCTTTCAAACAAAGAGGGGAAAAGGCCCTTGTTTTGCACCCCATTCCCCCCCCCCCCCCAATTGGCAAACTCCTTTTCAGTTTGGAATGTCAGAATAAAAACTGATGTGTTAAACTTGTGGATACTGGTTTTAGTTATCCTCTAAACTCCCCAGCATGGGGTGAAAGGAGAGAAAAATCCAGCCGGTTCCAACCCTCCACTCTCTGCACAAGAACCCAGACTAAAACCTCCCGGGTAAATGGACGTTTAGTCTCCAGATGTCCAATTAAAGCTGGTTGCACGGTCAAACTGTCATTGCTGTCAAGAAGTATTTTTTAACACCCAACTTTCTAACATTCATTGCATCATTTCCCCTGCTTCTGGCCCTTGTTTAAAAAAGGGGAAAGTCTTCTTCAGCTACAGTTGGTCTCCTGGGGATCATGGAGTTCTCTGGGTAGAACTTCTTGGCCACGACGTGGAAGTGGTTGGCCACTTTTCCCAAGCTTCTTTTTTTTTAACTTTCCTGTCTAGCCTTCGACTGTGACATTTCCTGGTGATCTCCCACCCAAATGCGGACAAGTCTGGCCCTGCTTAACTTCTGCAAAATCGCCCAAGGTCCGCTAGGTGTCTGGTTAGCGGGCCAAAAGATTTTTAAGAAGCCACAACCAGCAGTTTTGGCCAACATCCAACCTAACCTTCTCCAGGGGTCCTATCCTGTTGTCTTGATTAGGCCCCAGCACATAAAACCACTCAGAGGGGTCCTCCAAAGGCTTGGGAAGAGGTTGAGAAACACTGGCTCGGCTGAACAGCTGGTGGTTGAACCACATGGGCCTGGTGAACTGTAGTTCTGGGTTTGGTTTCTTCTTGTGGCTTTGAGCACGTTCTGCAAATCCAGCCCGTTGGGTTTGTTGGTGATTCATTCGGAGTCCAAGAAAGGGTTATTTTGATGATCAGGTGCAGCAAATGCAAACTAGAGAGCTCCGTGCAGTGTTTCTCAACCTTGGCGCGTTTAAGAGGGGTGGACCTCAAACACCCAAAATTCCCCACCCCCCCCCGGGGGGCGGGGGGGTTTTTGGGGGTTAGGGTACCCCCCCTTTAAACGGCCAAAAGTGTGAAAAAAA